CTTACGATAGCAAGTAGTAGGATCTTCTAGCAGTTAAGGAACTGTTCGTTGAATGAAAATATTGTATAAGATATGAATTACAGGCAGATACAATATTAAAAATAGGATATATTTCTTACCTAAAGTATGACAAAGAAATATGATCATTTTATTTAATTTATATTTATTAAATTACAAAAAAGCAAATAATTTATATTTAAAATAAATAATAACTTATGATAAGTTATATTTATTTCTAAATATAAAATACGAGAAAAAATTATTTATATTTATTTTAAATATTAATTTCTGAAAATTTATATTTATTATAAAGAAACAGGAAAATGACACCCCTAGAACAAATCTAACCGAAATCGAGTTAGAGAAAGTCAGTTTGATTTGATCTCTGATCTATTCGTGTAGATTCATGCTAAATATCTAGTCTATAGACTAATTTGAGTTGTTGCTTTACTAAAATGGAGTATTTCGATCATAGCTCTGCTGGATGGGTCCTTTTCTTCCCTCTATTATCGAGCAGATCGAAACTTTTCGGAACATAGCTTGAGGTACAGCAGATCTCGTATACTTAACTTCACTATCGCCATTTAGTATTAATAAGTAGTACTTAAATGCAATTTTCTTGGTGATACTTCCAAGCCGATTTTCCATTTATGCTCGGTTATCAATCGTTTTTTTCCATGACAATCATTTCGAAGCCATAAAAATTTCCAGTGTCTCAGTTAGATAGTTTTGGAGTGCTACGCTCTACATGACTAAATCCTTTCAGTAGAGGGTTGGCGACGCTAACATCGCGTTACCTTGTTTTTATTAGATGGAAAGTAGCACTGCTATGTACTTTTTTCATTTCGAGTACGAAAGAAATCATCAGTATAGATGAATAGAGATTTGTTTTTACAATTTTTGTAGTACTTTTCAAGACACATCTTTTGAAAAAAAAACCAAAGTTTTATCATTTGTTTGTGCAGAGATATATGCAAGACAATTTATACTACTAACATTTCGGGACATAGTGTTTAATATTTTGACTATAAAACTGTCAGTTCTGCATGAAATTTAGAATATTTTTTTTATGAAAATGATCAGCAAAAAAAGCTCTACAATCGTATGATAAAATAAGAAGTTTTCTCAATACTTTGCCAATTTTGTAGCTGACTGTATATGTAACAACAATATCATTTGTCTTTTTTGTGTCATTTTTTTTCGTAAGAATGAAGTTTGCGTTGCTTATTGCACTTTGTATTCAAGAGTTTTTCGCATGAAACAGAGGTATACAGATAGTACTTGATCTCCGCTACAAGGATATATAACCAAATTAAATTAAGGTTGTGTAGTCTAAATGCACTACTCAAAACAAAACAGTGGTGCGAGACTTGTGACGTCCACTGTATTTTACTGGGAAGATAAAGGTAATTTAAATTGTCCAGAATTAGTAAAAGAATTTGAAGAAAATTTAAAAAAGAAAACAAATGAAAGAAAATCAATACGAAAAAGTGAAACAAAATCAAAAAATAAATCAAACAAAAAAACAAAATTAGATGAAACATTTCAAGATGATGAAATGGACGAAAATTCATCAATTAATAAAGATAAAAATATTTATTCAAATGAAAATGATGATGATCATTCTCAACCTGATGCAACATATCATAGTCCTGCATCTATTTTATCAAATGGTAACCATATATCAAACAAATCTCCTATTAGATCTACTTGTAAGAACTTTTTTTTTTTGTTAATGATAATTCTATCGAATATTTGTTTTTTATTTCCATAGCTAAAAGTGAAAGTATAAATGGTGATATAAATGAAGAAAACAAGAATTCAAATAATGAAACAATAAATAGTGAAGATAATAATAAGAGTATTGAATTATTAAATAAATCTTCACCAATAAAAGAAAATCTATTAATTGAACAATCAAATGAACCACCTGGTAATCTTCGTCTTCGTATAACACCAAGTTTACCATCATCAATATCATTAACACTTAATGATACTGATAATAATAATAATACAAATGATAAATCAATTATTATATTATTATAAATATTTTAAAATTTTATCAACTATTTATGAAGGTCAACAATCAATGTGTACTCTAATATTAACTCTAGTGCCATCTATTACAAACATTCTATTGCTTGTTTTAACTAACCGATAATATATATATATATTTGATGAAATTGTTTGTTCAATTGTAAAAATGCAATCTATTGGATTACTTCAATTGCCTGGTGAAATTCTCGTTAACATTTTTACAAAATTAAATATCGTCGAAGCTTTTGACTCATTATTAGGTACTCATGATTAAATAGATAAAATTTTATTTGATCCTATTTTTACGAGTCGCCTAACATTATTCAAAAGCTC